GCAAGGCTTCGGGACCAATGGACGTTGTTTCACCTGTCGAAGGGTCACACGACGGTCGAGTCGAACACGACAGGGGCTCACTATTGGAGCGCTCCCAGCTTGACCGAGCGGAGAAACTCGTGGTTGAGTCCAACCCGATACAACAATGGGGATCGATTGCCGGTGCGAGTGTCAAAACTTCAGGACGAAAAAGGCGGTGTGAGTTGCGAGGGCATGAGTACAACTGACCAAGTTTGGGCGACTACGATACTAGTGGGCGACATTGTCGCTATGGAAGTGAATATTACAGGTACACTCACGGAATTACAGATGTCGTCGTCGATGATGCCCGCCGAAGTAAGAGGCACTTTCCAAGACACTTTTGAGGGTGTAAAGGAGGAAGAAACACTCCATGTACAGGGCATCGAAGAGGATGAAGGACATATAGTACTAAGTNTCTCTCTCTCTCTCTCTCTCTCTCTCTCTCTCTCTCTCTCTCTCTTGTTCGTTTCGAAACAGTAAACAAGAACGCATATTCCCGCTCGTTCATTTCGAAACAGTAAACAGGAACGCATCTTACTCTTTCGAAACAGTAAACGGGAACGCATCTTACTTATCGCTGAAATATGCGTTCCCGTTTACTGTTTCGAAACGAACGAGAGAGAGAGAGAGGGGGGCCGGCGACCTGCACAGAGGGTTGAGGCGAACTCGCCGCCTCTCTCTCTCTCTCTCTCTCTCTCTCTCTCTCTCTCTCTCTCTCTCTCTCTCTCTCTCTCTCTCTCTCCCGCGTCCGTGCGCCTATGACTTCAACTGTTTTTTCGTTGTTGTTTTTTCGTTTGTGTATTTCATTTTTTTTTTCCTTTTTTTTTTTTTTTTCTGTACTTTGTCGTCCCTACAGAAGCGGGGCCCGGCGTCCGCGCTACGACCGGGACTTCCCTTGGTCGACCCCCCTAAGGCTGCGACGCATATACGGGAAGGCTCGCGACCGATAGCTGGGCGAGGTTCCGGTGGTTTAAGTTTCTCTTTATCTTAACTGAAAGCAGACTGAGGGATGAACTGGGGGGAGGTAGGAGGAAGGCAGTTTGCATGCATTTGACCAGGTCAACCAAGGACAGGGCATTGTTTCTAAGTTGAATGACCTAGGGCTATGTTTATTTGACTGTTTTATGAAGGATCAGACATTGTTTCTAAGTTGAATGGTCTGGTTGTTCTGTTTATTTTTAAAGGCTTGCATGGTTGAAGGGTTTAATCTCTTGTTTCATTCTGAGGGAGGATTTCTGGTCTAAGGCTAAGCATTGTTTCTAAGTTGAATGGTTTAACCTGAAAACCACGCACACAAGTATAAAATGAGTATAAACAGAAAGTACTTTACTTATACTTGCATGAGAACTGACAATTGGACATTGTTTCTAAGTTGAATGGTCCAACGCTACGCCATATCATTAAGAAGTGAAGAGAAATTACATTTGGAAGTAATCTGGGCAAGTTGAACATGAATGGCTCAATCCCCTGCTCATATTTTCATTTCTTTTTAAGAACAAAGTCATAAATTATTAAACTTTGGATATTAAACAAGATCCGGGCGACTAGGCACTTGTTTATAAGCTGAATGGTCTAGCCATATGCCCAAAGAAGAGAAAAGTAGTTGTACAACCTGTTCGTGTATATCCTAAAGGCATGCTAGACATTGTTTCTAAGTTGAATGGTCTAGCACCACGCCATATGTAAGTTGGGTATAAGGGTTAAATCGTCTAAAATATTCATGAACTGTCTATGAGGATTTTGACTTGGGGATAGTGAGAGTACTTACTTCTTATGGTTTGGCCTTGCATATAGCTGAGTTAGATTACTACTTGGTTTGAGTTTTAGTTTGATAGGTAGTCGCTTTAGATGTTCACCACGTGCTAGAGTCATAGGAGTTAGTTTCAATTCCTGCATTTCCTGAGCTAAGTTTATTTTACTAAGATCGATTTTGGCATTTTCTGGGATCATTTATTGTACTTGGTCCTGTATAAATCTTGGTAAGTTACTTTCTCTACGGAAAGCGCTGCCGAAATTTCTACAAAACCAAAAATTTAGTCAGATTTTGTTGTTTCAAGGTTTAGTTTGTCTGACTTTTTGGATTAGTAAAAATTTGAAAAACTCTCTTTTCTAAAGGGGGTGCTGCCCAAATTTTTACTAATTCAGGAAGTTAGACAAAATTGAATCTTAAAAAGTCAAAGTAACTTTAGATTCTGAACTTAGCTTTGTATAAATCTTGGATTTGCACTTTTCTAGAGGGAGTGCTGCCGAAATTTCTACAAATCTGCGGAGTTAGTTAAATTTTATCTTAGTTGAACTCAGATTTACTCTGGGTTCATATCTAACTTAGTAAAACTCTGGAAAGTCTTATTTTTCTAAAGAGAATGATGCCCAAATTTTTACTAATTCAGGGAGTTAGACAAAACTTGACTTTTCTGAATTAGAGATTATCGTTTGTTTTCATTTTTGATTATTATAAATTCTAAGAAGATATTTTTTCTATAGGAAGTGCTGCCGAAATATTTTTAGTTTAATAGCGAAGCATCTTGTGGAGTTTTTGGGGACCTGCTTTGAAGTAAGAGGTTAGGGGTATCAAATGATTCTTTACAAGGACGGAGAGGGGGAGGAAATACGGTTGCTCGATGGGTACCGGCTAGAGGGGCTTCTTATCAGATGTGATTGGCGTCGGGTAGTTTAAGTTGTTTGATCGGTACCGGTTGATGAGAGTGAACTCTGGCGCGATTGGCGTCGGGTAGTGCTAGTTCACCACCTCGAGGACAGAGACTAGGATTCTTGTGGGGCCAAAGAATGTCAAGATGATGATGGGGCTCGACCCCCACGGAAAAGAGGCTCTCTGAAGTTCTTCACGATGGTAGGACAGAGGTGAACGGGATGGAGGAAGTTGGTGGTGAATGCGATTGGCGCTGAAATTTCGCCGGGTACCGGCCACTGACCGCTAACTTACCCGGATCAGTCTGCGCTTCTTCCCTTCAATGATGGAGGCAGGATTGTTCTGTGGGGCTATTTCTCTAGAAAAGAGGTTGAGTGGGATGAGTAGACGGTTGGATATCAAGCGTCCTACTAGTGAGGGGGCTAGCTCGTAGGATGGAAATAGGGTACAACAGTAGTGGAGATGGTGACTCTGCTGCAATAAGTCTTGACGGAGTAAGGTAAAGAGGATTGATGAGGGAGTCTCTGAGTTGTTTTCTGAATTTTGCCTATTCTGAAGTTTTTTTGTATTTTTCTCAGTAGATTAAATTCTTCTTAGCCCCGGGATCTTAAACTTTCAAAATTCTTTCAAAATTCTATGTCAACTTTCATATGGGACGCTCAGCCCGGTTCCCAGCACGTGCTGCTCCCCACGAATAGATTGGAGCATTATTCCCATTATATATATATATATATATATATATATATATTGACAGGTGACAATTCTGACAATTCACTCTGTATGAGGGAGATTCTGCCACAGATCTACCTTTCTTCGGGTACTGATTTAGAAATAGACATAGGTTTGGTTATAAGGAGAGTCTTGAGTGAGAATGTGTCAGGGGGATTTGTTCTCCATACACTGATGATTTAACTTGGGTACTAACATGTCTTATGGTACAGACCTTCTTTGGACATTCGATCCAAGATTTGGACTAGTTTCAGTTTGATCCCACGAGGATCATCTTCTGAAATCACTAATAACAAATCGGTTGGTTGCTCGCCCAGGCGTTGGCTCACGACACAACTTTGCTTACACCTATACCTCAACTTGATTGTCGTAACCGTGAGATTTGACACGTTTCTTTGAGGGTCGTAACCAGACTTCTTTTAATGATTATTATAAAAGACTTACGAGATATATGGAAGGTTGGTCATTGGATGGGGCTTGAGTGTAAGGCGTGGTGTGAGTTACAGGGAACAGTAAAGTTGACCACATTGATGTATGGCAATATGACTATTGTGTGTGTCCTTGTTTTATGCAGGTTAGTATTTGGAGCTTGGCATATGAGTCGTACCGTGGAGACAGTGAGAATGACAACCATATGACGCACGATCTGCATACCTGATGGGTTTATGTTGCCCCCTTCTTTTATGCTATCTCGAGTTCTGATTTAATATATGATTGTTGAATGTTTATTTATTTACTGATTGATTTTGCTTGTTAATTTTTTATAGTTGGACGTTGTGATCCGTGGCAACCGTCAAAGTCAAACCCCTTGATTTCTCTTCAAACCCTGGATGATGGAGCTGGTCTCTAGGCCAATAAGAGACAACTGCCACCACAGGTATGAACCTGTGTACCACCGACTCTCCGCAGGGTGCAAAAGAGGGTGTGGTTATCAACCGCACTTGGCGGTTGTCTAGCGTCGAGAGATCAACCCCTCAAGGCGCGTGTCAACCGACACTTGAGTGTCGAAGGCGACCCCTGAGATTAGCGAGGACCTTATGAGTATGGGTACTACATAGTACGCCATCATTGCGACTGCTTGCGTATGCTTGCATTGCGAGTCGATATGAGTTAGCCCTGTGTCCGCGCGGTCTTATACTAAGTCTCGCGTGTGACGCCTATCCGATTTCCGCATCGGAGAGTTATGGGATGGTTACTAAGGGACTAGGAGTGTTATTGTGTTGTTCGTTATGTGTCGTCTTGTGTATGTGTGTGTGCGTACGTATTTTAATTTTTATGTTCTTAAGAGTGGTGTACGCGTGGTGCATGGGATGCGTCCTAGTCGACCAACGACGAATCTCGCTTAGGACTTCAACCCACCAGTGCGTCGGTTCGCGTGCGGGTCCGATAAAGGCGTAATACGACGCGTACCTCCTATGCTACAACGAACGAGAAACGCCCTCAGCTGGTCCACCTCTGCAATTGCAGCTGATTAACTTTCGTACTGTGGACTGGTAGCTCGGCGAGGATACGCCCACCGAAAGGAGGTGACAGCTCCCGTAAGGTGGAGGGAAAGTCGTGTCTCGCGTAGGCCCTATCCTGTTGTAGGGGCTGGCGAGAGGTATGGCTGGCGCACTCGGCCAAAGCGGCTTGTGGAGCTCCATCGCAACGAGGAATAAAGCAACTTCTGTATGACGCGGTCGGGAGGGTCCCACCTTGTTTTGTGCAGCGTCGGACCGATGCGCTCGACACGGTGGCGATGAAGAAGGACGAGGAGGAAGACAAATAGGAGGACGTCGACGAAGAAGAAGGAGGAGGAGGAGGAGGCGCCGGCGATGGAGGACGACGAGAAGGAGAAGGAGGAGGAGGAGGAGGAGGCAGAGGAGGAGGAACAAGCGGTGGAGGAGCAAGAGGTCACGACAACGGAGGGAGGAGGAGAAAGTTTAGAGGAGAAAAAGGAAGGAGAGGAGGAGGAGGAGGACGGCGGCGACGAGGAGGACGAGGAGTGGGAAAAGGATGAAAAAGAAGAGGAGAAGGAAGAAGAGGAGGAAGAGGGAGAAGAGGAAAAGGAAAAAAAGGAAGAGGGTCCGACGATGGAGGAGGAGCAGGAGGTGGAGGAGTAGGAGGCCACACTCCGCCGGCCCTCCCCGCTTTTTTTTCAACGAATCAATCGAAGGTCCCATCGAATCGATTGATTCGATAGAATCTTGATATGACATATCAAGATCCTATCAAATCAATTGATTCGATGGGATCTTCGATCGATCGATTGATTGATTGATTGATCGGACAAAAAAAAAAAAAAAAAAAGGGAGGAGGAAACGTTATCGATTCGGTGAGGATGGTGAGGAGAACGACGAGTAGGGGGACAGGGATTGGCGGGACAAGGAGGAAGAAGAAGTGGGGGATGAGGAGGTCATGGCGATGGAGAATGATGATGAGAAAGTCAAAGAGGAGGACGAAGAGGAGGACGACGACGAAGAAGGAGAAGGAGGAGGAGGAGGAGGCCCTGATGGGGGTGAAGGTGGAAGAGACGACGACGACGGCGGCGGTGGCATCGGGGGAGGAGGTGACCCCGACGATGGTGGAGGAGGAAATGGGGGTGGGACAGGGATTGGCGGGACGAGGAGGAGGAAGAAGAAGCGAGGGAGGAGGAGGTCATGGCGATGGAGAAGGACGAGGAGAAAGACGAAGAGGAGGATGACGACTAAGAAGGACAAGGAGGAGGTGGAGGAGGACAAGGAGGCCCCAACGAGGGTGAAGGAGGAAGAGGCGGTGACATCGGGGGAGGAGGTGGAGGAGGTGGAGGAGAAGAGATAACGAGGATGGGGAGGATAATGAGGAGTAGGAGGAGGCCCCGACCATGGTGGAGGAGGAGGAGGCCCCGACCATGGTGGGGGAGGAGGAGGCCCCGACAATGGTGGAGGAGGAGGAGGCCCCGACAATGGTGGAGGAGGAGGAGGAGGAGTGGAAGGGGGCCGAACTGATTGGCCACCCGATTACTCCGCCAACCCTTCCGTTTTTTTTTTTCAATCAATCAATCAAACAATCAACCACCCAACCCCACCCCCCCACACACCCCAAAGCCTGTTTGAGGCGATTTCTATTTTTTTTCTGTTTTTGCTCGGAATGACCCCAAACTTTTTTGGGGGGTCCCCTGGCAGTACGTAGACCCCCCCCACTTTTTTTCTTTTTTTTTTTGCTTTCGGTGTGGCAAAAAACTCGTTGTCCGATTTTCCGGATAGGGGAGACGTCTCCCAATCGAACAGCTGGTAACGTAGGTTTTTTATGGTTTTGATTTTTTTTTAAATACATGAAGTTCAAGAAAAACAAAAAAAAACATGTTGTTGTATATCTTTGAAAGATATACAACCTTATATTTTTTATTTGTTTTTCTGTTTTTGTTTTAGCCCTTACTCTTTGTGAAACCGAAAAAAAAAACACTAATTTTATTTTTTGTTTTTGTATTTTCATTGTGTTTATGTTTTTTTTTTTTTTTCAATATACTCAAACATCAACAAATAAAAATAAAAAATATAGGGTTGTAGTCCTCGAAAAGACCTAGAACCCTATATATATATATATATATATATATATACATTTTAATTATGTTTAGCCTTCCCAAAAAATCATCGCGGACCCCGTTTATACCCGTTCAACGAGTGTTTCAACGGGGATTCAACGCAGGTTCAACGCTCGTTGAATAATTCAACGCGGAACCCTCGTTGAATCCAAAATCGGACATACATGCTGTGATAGCCCCTTGGGCCGAGGTAAGTTTTTCCTCATGCGACCTCTATCCTGTCGTAAGGGTTCGTGAAAGGTAAGACCGGTGCACTCGGCTGGAGCGGCGAACACTCATTTGCAAAAAAATCTTGCAAAATCCTGCGTGACGCGGCCAGGAGGGTTCCCCTACGGAATCGATGCGCTCTGCAACGAAATTCACTAATAGGCTCTGGTTATAATTGCAGTTAGATCCATCATGATCAAAATCTGGTTGTAGCTGCTACCGAATGTAAACAAGAAAGTATTACTATGAGTATCCCCAGTCACTGGTCCATTGCTGCCGTCAAAATTTGAAGCGGAAATTTATGGATAGAAGCTAAAAAAATCCAACATGCAAAGGCCCAAGTTTGAAATAAGGATAAAAACTAAACCAACGTGGAAACTTTTGGGCACAGGTATGAATGGGCACAGGTTGACGAATATTGGGTTCGGGTACGGCTAGATGCAGGTGAACGAAAATTTGGCCTGGGTGTGGTTGCGTATGGGTAGATAATCTTTAAATCACCTTGGGTGCGCTTGGTATAGGTAGAATAAAAAATAAATTAGCGTGGGTGGGTTGGGTCTGGGTAAAACAAATTGTCCTTACGTGGGTCCGGCTAGATATGATACATTAAGGTTTGAGTTGGGTCGAATACGGATAGGAAAATTAATGGTTTTGCGACCTGTGGTGTGTGTGGGGAGGGTAACGACTGGTGTTTTATTCACAATGTGTATAGGACGATTGACCCGTTTTCCAGCAGGTGTCGCTCCCTACTAATAGACAGGAGCATCTACTGTAAATCCACTATAAGGGGATGCTCATATCACTTCTCTCGTGCGCTGAAGTGAAACGTTTTGGGGAAAAAAAAAAGTGTGTGTGTGTGTGTGTGTGTATGTGTGTATGTGAGAGTAAGTGAGTATGTTCGTGGGTGCGTGTGTATGTGTGTGTGTGTGTGTGTGTGTGCGTGTGAGAGAGAGAGAGATAGAGAGGGGGAGGGGGAGAGAGAGAGAGAGTGAGCCTTGCAACATGCAACATGTTAGTGGAGGTGAGCACAAGGGCAGATGTTAACCTCGGGAAAAAAAAAAAAAAAAAATGTTGTATTCAAATACAATAGTTTTTTTGTTTCCAAATTCGAACATAAAAGTATGTATTGTATTTGAATACAACATGTGCACGGACTATTCGAATTCGATAAAAGTGGACCCATGTCATTTCGATTGTAAAATGTTTGTAGCCGTAAGGCTACGATATAGTAGGTTTCGACATCTATGTCAAGGTGGTACATTTTCATTGGCAGGGGACCGATGCGCAAGAAGGTTCAAGTTATAAGGGGGTGAAAGTTGTTGGGAGACGGGTCCACCGCGTTTTTACGGGCTACCTACAACTATCGCACGTAGAACGGACGCGGTAGCAAAACTGGAGGATCGGTCCTCCCTTGTACGTGAGCTGCAAAAGGGCCCTCAGGCCCAAGCGTTAAAGCCCATCTTCTCAAAACTGGGAGGTGAACGCTGGAAAGATGAGGGAAGGCGCAACGAAACAGGCATCCGATGCAAGAGGCAACTATAGCGATTTTTTATGCTTGGAGGAACGCAAAGAAAAATCTAAAACATTAATAATCCGTGGATTAGATTGCGGTCTTCCCAGAAAAAAATATCAGAAATTAAAAAAAAAAATTATTAAGACCGCGAAATAATTGTCGCATCGATTCGACACATTTTTCATTTTTGCCACTCGGCCATGTGTGGGCCAACAAAAAAGTACTCCGCCTTCAATGATTTTTCACATTCAGAAGGATGCGTGAAAAACCTTGAAAATTGAAGTTCTCGTAAATTTTATTGTGATATTTACAAAAAAAAGTATTAAAAAATATATGATGAGTCGGTGAAACTCCGACGAAACAGTTTGTCACAGCCCCTCGTTTGTTGTCCTCTTCTCCCTCTCTGCCTACGGTTTACCGGGCAGTTCTATTTGACGATATATAT